TTGGGAAGAATTGAGGGCATTCAGAAATAGATCAGATAAACACACACTTCAAAGCAGCATCCTGTTAACTGTATTTTAGGAGCCTTCAGGTTCAGGTTCAGGTTCAGGTTATTTATTTGTACCCGTAGGTAGATTCTGTTTGCAGAGAAAAAGACAAGGGTTCCATCCTGACACTACAAATAAACACAAACAACAGACACATCTCTAATAAAGGACTAGTAAAAGTACAGGTACAAGTACACCCTGCTCAACCAAGTCTCAAAACATTTTAAGAAGGAAAACACTAGTACAAACATGGACATTCAAAATTCACAATTAAATAAATAAATAAAAATAGGCATCTGTGTGACGCTCCTATGATGTGTTAATGTGTGCAATAGCTGCTGGGATAAAACTGTTTTTATACCGCTTCGTTCTACTCCTTGGGACGAGCAACCTCCGGCCCGAAGGAAGAAGCTTGAACTCTGAGTGCAGAGGGTGGGAGTCATCGTCTAATATGGAGCTGGATAACCGCTGTAACTGCAGGGGTACAGGGTCTCCAGGTTTAGCTGTGGCTCACCAATCAGTCTGCTGGACCACTTTATGATCTGACTCAGAGAGTTCCTGCTCTTTAAAGTCAGGTTACCAAACCATGACATTAGTGAAAAAGACAGAATGGACTCGATAAAAGCACGATAAAACATGATCATCATGGTTTTGTCAATGTTAAAATAGGACAATTTCCTAAGACAGTACAAACGCTGGTGCCCCCTTTTGCACACAGCCTCACAGTTTGGATCAGAGCTCAATTTTGAGTCAATAATTGTCCCGAGATATTTGTATGATTGCACAAATTCTACTTTCTGATTTGCCTTAACTGTTTTGACAAAGGCTTGAGAAATCCACTCCCCTAAGCTGTTCTTTATGACAACGTGAGATCATGCAACGGATTCCTGCTTTTACGTAGGCTACTTCTCCTGTGGTTTGCCCGTACAAATAAAAAATAAACAATGGTTTTCCTGACAGACAGTCAGTGCAGAGGGGTGAGGAACATTGTGTCCCTCCTGGTGGATTGGTGGTGTGCTCTTATGTAAGGCTGGTTTCTGCCTGGCAGCAGAGCGGAGCCCCACTGACACTGTCACACTCACACTGCTAATTATTACACACCAGCTAGAGGAGTGCCCTCAGTGGCTGCTTGTGTGTGTGTGTGTGTGTGTGTGTGTGTGTGTGTGTGTTCATGTTGCGTCTGTACTGGAGAGGTGAAAGCTTGGTGCCCATAAAGAATATTAAAGCATTATAAGGACATTGTAAGTGTGGTATGTTTTTCAAAAACAGCCTTAGCGTTCCAGACATCTTATTTTTCCCTGCCTGGGCTTTGCCTGTTTTGACCCGCTGCCTGCTTTTTGGACTCCTGCCCTTTAGCCTGATGCCTATTGGATAAGCCAGCCTCGTCTACCCTGCATGCTTATTCTCGACCACGAGTAAACTCAAACTTTGATTTCACCGTCTTGGTCTCCGTCATGCTTTTGGGGTTTTGTTGAGCCTTTTAAAAAAACAAGTCGATGATTTGGGGTCTGTTTGGCTACATTGAGGCCTATTCCATTTTGTTTTCACATCAACATGCTAACATGATGACATGTTTAGAAGGTTTAATGTTGGCCATTGTCCCCATCTCAGATCAAAAAGCAATTGTACAAATTAAGATTTTCCATACATAACCTGCAGACATGATATTGGTATCAGTTTGTATCTAACTCTCTGCAAGATAGCAAATACATTAATATTTGTTACCTTAAAATAACACAATTCTATTCACTTTTGACAGCAATATTCTTAAAACCTTGGAAAATCAAAACAATTTGCAGGACTAGACACATTTCTGTGTACCCTTTCAAAAATGAATTAACCAAAGATAAGCAATGTAACCTTGTAAATGGAAAATATTCCTATATCTGTATGGTGTAAAAAGATAACTGCATGGTAAAGAAACACAACGTTCCTGTGTGACAGCTGGATGTGAGTGAGTGGGAGATAGACAGTTGTTTACTGCATGTTTCAAACCTGCTGACCTCCAGACTATGATTACGCAGTCCGTTCTGGAGACGCGTGGCTTGGTAGGAAGTCATTGGCTCAGTATGGGCTTCCTGCCTCTGCCTCCGTTTCAAATAAAAACACGTAGCAGAGAGGGAGAGTTCAGCCTCACTCCATACAGGACGGAGGTACAGTAGGACATCCTCCTCTATTGACAGTCAGGAAGCTATTAGACTTTGTGCCAAATGCGTCAAAGAAGAAGGAGAGGGGCAGGATGGGATTTGTAGTCTTAAAGGAAAAACATTTTGAATCAGTTTCTTTTGGGGAAAAACTAATTAAAGTGACACTATGCAACGTTTCAAAGACAAAATAACACTTTATTCTTGTATTCATATTTACATTTTATATCATATAGAATTCTAAAATGATAATTTACTCAGGTCTTAATCTTGGACAACAGTAATTTACTCAAATGTAAAAAGAATACAGACAAAGTATACCCGTTTAAATAAATTCATTTATTTCTGTATGTTACTATCCATAATCAATACAGACAAAAGCAATACTGGACTACCAGAATTTAAAAATCGTTATAATCATCTCTTGTGAGCATCACAATAAACAGTATATTGAATTATGTACAATGGAAGACAACGACACATTCAGACCGAGTGAAGATCAATCTGATTCTGTCCATGGACACAGAAATGGGGAAAGCGCTCGGAAACATGTCAAGAACAAAATTCCCAGCGACAAAAACAAAAACACTTGGCAGAGAGAGAAATGTACAAGGAGAAAAGCAGCTTCTGCTCGCAATAAAAAGAAAATAAATCATCAATGCAATGTTACATTTGGTTCCACGGTTGTAAACTAGATAGTATTCATGTCACTATTGCATATGCCATTGGGGTAAAGTGTGTCAACAAGGCAAAGAGATCTCTTTAATAAAATAGACAGTATATTTTCATATAGTCACTGAGACTGTGAGGGAGAAAAGCATACAATAACCTGTACAACCCAGAAGAAAAAACCCCATCCCCTTTTGAAAAATCTGTAGCCAAAGTCTTTACACAGGAATATCATTGCAACATAAAATCTAAGTGTATTTTCAATAGATTGTTTTAGTTAAACTCTTTCTATGTACAAAATATATACCTTCAAGAATCTGCAGATAAATAAAACTTAGCGTAGTAGCTCCAATATTATTCAACTATGTCAAAACCGTTTTCCACCTTGTGTTTGTGTGTTGTTCCCACCAGTTCAGCGATACATTCAGACATGGTTTTCATTTTTACAATCTACTGTACACTAAAGAGGTGGTGAGCCAGTTGGAGTCGGCACAGTGAATGACGCAAACACTACAATGTGAGGAGAGCTTAGAGGGCTTTCAGATCATATTAACCCACTGGAGGCCATTTTGGAGTTTGTATAATTTTGACTAATAATTTCTCTTGAGAGCACAATGTTTGGTTCAGATTAAAACAAAGACTATGACGTTTAAATGAATTTAGCATTAATAAAGCACACCGTCGCTAAGCCTTTGACCAGTTGCTAATGGTAGCCTAACTAATGACAGCTAAAGTGTGCCATTATTTAGCATTGTCCTGACATTGTTAAATAGTTGTCACTTCGTGAAATATAGTCTTAACTTGTCAAATGTTATCATTATTTTCAGCCTGATCAAACCATTTGCTGTCAACTGCAATTCAGATATTGTTAAAACAACATATCTGACTAAACTTGTTTCTCCAGTAAATCTCCCTGTTGGTGCCAGATGTGGCCTCCCTACTTTTCCTTTTTTTGTGATTGTCCCGCACTGCCAACCCCTTTTCCCCTTACTTTAGCCCTCGTTGGATGACCAGAAAACGTCTCGGCTGTGCCCCAACCCTGACAGTTTTCATTGGCTCCATCGCCCCTTCATCGTCACTTTAACTATACAGTTGTACCATCAAGATATATCACAGCAGGGTGTCCTGCATTTTGCTCAACAGCAGTCAATAGGTTTGAAGGTAGGAGTGTGTGAGGTTTTCAGGCTCAAGTGAGGAACTGTGGGAGGAACAGTGCAATCAGATGCCTGGTGTTGTGGGGTCTGAGCTGAGTTACAAACACATGCGTAACTCTTAAAGACATTTAGAAATATATTTCTGTAAGTCCAGCGCTTTGATTGGACAACAAATAAACTAGGTTAGAATAAATAAGAAATGTGTCATTAAGAAAATACTTTAATATCCATAAGATAAATCAGATGTCAAGCAGCCCCAATGTACTGTCTATTTCTGAAATCATATTTTAAGCTAAATGTCCACAATAGAATAACAATATAGAGGTCCAAACAGACACACTGTAATATAATATGTATCTCTTATCTCATAGAAAACATAAGGACAATATAGACATTAAGGCATTGGGTAGGTCTTATCAAACATTCATCTACCAAAAATAAATAACATATCTCATCTAAATATAGTTAATGTACCTTGGTATCTTCGCTCCCTGGGCCATTTTTATAGTAGGTTTCATTTTCCATTGTCATACAGGTTGGTCGTAATTTGTCTCAGGAACACACTCGCACTCATACAGGCAGTCATAAAACTAACCTCAAGTAAATAAATAGTATCAGGGTACCATTCAACTTTTGTTATATTCTGACTATCTTTGCTTCTGTGCTTGCGCCACAATGTGGGGTCACATGAAAAATGGCCTCTGAAAGCACAGTGAACAACACACACACACACACACACACACACACACACACACACACACACACACACACACACACACACACACACACACACACACACACACACACACACACACACACACACACACACACACACACACACCACACACACACACACACACACACACACACACACACACACACACACACACACACACACACACACACACACACACACACACACACACACACACACACACACACACACACACACACACACACACACACACACACACACACACACACACACACACACACACACACACACACACACACACACACACCACACACACACACACACACACACACACACACACACACACACACACACACACACACACACACACACACACACACACACACACACCTGTGTTGCCTCCAGCGAATTCATGACATGCATAGACGATGACCTGCTTGTTTCGTAAGTGTGTGAGAGTGATGCTGAGGGTCCAGACAGTCTATTAGGGCCCAGTGGTAGGGCAAAGTCGATTTCTTGTTTCCAGCAGCAGGTTGGTGAAGACGCCAAGTCAGAGGACAGACGAGACCTTCAGTCTGAGAGAGGGGAAAAGAGGGAGTTAGTGGAAATATCTTGTGATTATAACACTCTTTGGCAAGCTGTCTTACTGTCTAATTGTAAAAGAAAAATGGAAAACCCCCAGTTTGTGGTCTGATTATTTTCCCAAAAACAACACTTGTGCCAACAATGCAGAGCTTTGAGACTGCAGACATTCAAATGCAGAGAACAGTCTACTGTACAGTGTGAACCCCTTCAGATTAGCTTGTGCCACAATAACAAGGAGACACTGGAACACGCAGCTCGAATAACAAGAACACAGTGTGCTGCACAAACAAGTACCATAGGACGGATTTGAGACGTGTGAAATGGATTGTTTTTATGTTCATTATGCTGATATTTAGTCTGATTTCTTATTTGATGAGTACAAGTTTGATGGTAGGTGTCATGTCTTTACACACCAGCTGTTTTTTGCCGCTTAAAGGACGGCAGGGGGGGGAGAGGCTGGAAGTGGGAAGCTGGATGGCAACGGTCGTTATTACATAATCTGGGATGTAGAGCAATGGGGGGTGGGGGTCTCCTGTCGCGCTGCCGTGTTGCTATGGACACACAGTGGAGGAGAACCAGTACATGATGCATCTCTGATATTATACAGAAACTGAAGGTGCGTTTATAGTGGAATTTATAATTATGAAGGATGAGGAAGAGGGGTTGTTCAAGCAGAACGGAGGAAGGATTTAGAGTGGAGGGGATGGGGGAGGGGCACTGGGTCAACTGGAAGCTTCCAGGAAGAGATCCAGTGGTGAAGGGCCAAGGGTTAAAAGGTGAGGGAAAGGGCCCCTTACTTCCACGAGGACAATATGCTCCATGTGTCATGAAACCACACGAGGATTGCATGGTTGTATTGAGGTTTGGAAACTTCTATCAGAGTAGGGCTGATGAAACTCTTAAAAAAACAGTTGGATAACCTCAAAAATGAGAGGCGGTTGGGCTGAAAGCAAGGCTTTTCTTAGTAACTGAAAAGTTGCCATTTTTGGAGCTCGGAGTCAAGCAGTTCTCATCTAAGAAAAGAAGTCTTAATACCTATTTTTATTCGAAACAATTATAAACAGAGGATAGTTGAGGACACTATGCATGTTAAATCTAAAAGTGAATCCCTGTTTCTTATAAAATGTACTATTAAAATGCATATACAAAGATATAACTCTATTTACCTTATGAATTTCAAGCCAATTTCTATGCAGGTTTCTGTCACAATTACGCTGACCTGAGATCTGGACAGGATAAACACACCTTGTGTTACGTATTAGCCAGCTGCTCCCCGTGGAGTAGCTGCTGATCTACCCCATGCCGTCTAATCTCGCCACAGAGGCTGTAATCTCATCTGGAGCCGTGGATGGCTAAATGTGGGGAACGCTGGCCACGCAGTTATCTAGCAGCTAGCGCTTCAGTCTGGAACATCCCGGCCTACTTTAGCCCCCCTCCTCCCCGCGCCACGACACACACAAATACACACACACTGGCTGGAAACTCTGACTGCGGTGTTACGTGTGCACGTTTGTTCTCGATATATATCAAGTAACATGGCATTTCTGGATTTCCTGCCTTGGCTTTTTTGCTATGTTATGTTTGAGAGATCTCAGATTCAACGCAGGTCTGACGCAGATTGTAATAAAGTATTCAACAGTGTGTGTGTGTGTCTGTGTCTGTGTCTGTGTGTGTGTGTGTGTGTGTGTGTGTGTGTGTGTGTGTGTGTGTGTGTGTGTGTGTGTGTGTGTGTGTGTGTGTGTGTGTGTGTGTAAGCAGGGATGGATTGAACAATCAGGCTGATGGATGGCTGAAATCAGGTGTCACTTTTACGCTAATGCCAGAACAAAATGTGTCAGGTAGAAAATGAAGCCACAAAGTAATCATGTCGGCCAAATTCCAACAGTGGAAAAAGTAGAATCAATGCATCCCTTATGCCAATGTCAAAGTCTACAATTTGGTCTACAAAATGTCAAAAAATACCAGGATTATGTCATCTAAATCCCTGTGCTTCTACTGAGCATGCTCAGAGCGAGTTAGGCATGCATGGCTGTGCAGCTAGACCCCTTTCACTCGCTGCACCCTCTAACATCGTAACGCACACGCACATCATGCAGAGATATACATGCTCCGGGTGCATTGAGATCTGGGATGACATCACTCACAATACTACTGACTGGATGGCGCCGAGAGGGAATGGGATTTATGGAGAAGGACACGAATGCTTCTAATCTGGCCGATAAATTACACACACACACTCATACATGATGCTGATGGTCATGCTCTGCGCAGCCTGTGGGTGCGGCAGATGGCGGGCAGTCATTAGTGGAGGGATAGTGAGTAGGTGGGGATGTGTGTGTGTAGGAGAAAGACATATATGTTAAAGTATTAGTGGAAGGGAAATGGGTACATGTATGTGAAGACAAGGCAGATTGGCAGGTGTTTAAGGCTCCATTTCCATCCCATGTCCCTCCAAACTACACACACTCACATCAGAGTGGCCATCTGCCACATGCACTCAGGAAGGGCCCCTCCAGTCTTGGTCCCTTTATTCTTACTTAACTCTCCTTCTTCCCTTACTTCTAGGGCTGCTCGATGTTCCAATACAAAATTGTTTTTGTTAATATTGAGATCAAGAATATTAAACCCTTTTACTAATTGACAAAATAATAATAATACAAAGAAAAAGGTAAAATGAAAACAATATACAGATACTGGGAATATAACTGAAAAAAATTGAAAATAAATGTTTTAGAAAATAAATAAATACATGTAATTAATAAAAAACCTAAATGTATTAAAAAAATATAAATGTATAGAATAAAAATAAAAATCAACAACACTATGTTATAACACCTACAGAAAACTCCTTAAATTAATGTTCAATATAAAAAAATACAAGGAATATAGCAAAAATGATATCAATTATGTTGCCACAACTTACTGAAAGCTCCTAGCAAAATCCCCCATCCCTATCTTACACCTGCTATGATGATGATTATCAACACGCCTGGTAAAAGGCAATGCTCATATACGAGTGTAAGCGTAGTAAAAATCATCTCACATTGCAAATCAAGCTTCTTGAATCGTCAGAGGGAAGATAAAAGGTATTAGCTGGATGTGGCGGTGGAAACAGAGACGGCTGACTCGGCTAATCGGAGTCTGGTAAAGAACATCCACCTGGCTGAGCTGCGGCTAGCAGAGACGACGGCTCAGGTTAGGGCAGAGGTAAACACCATCTCTAAATCACACTCGGACAGAACAACAGGTAAACAAAAAGCGGACCTGTACGCCAGGCATTAAGACATCTAATCTGACTGGAGTTGGAGCACCAAAAGAACGTAAAGCTCCAGGGTTATGTGACCAGGAATGCAGTCACGGGCGTCATATGGGGGGGAAATTCCAAGGGGCATTTGATTGTTTTGGTTGTACTTTGATCCTGACAAACACTCGCCTCAAGAGCTGCAGCATTCCATTAGAAGTTCTCATTCCAGCCAATTGCCTGCGAGGGTCAGACGGAGAAGGAATGAAAAGCTGCAGACTTTTGGGTCTGGGTGGCACATGTTGCGGGGGGAGGGGTAGAGCTTCACCTCCTGAAAAACAGTGGGGCCTAGCACCAAAAAAACCAAAGCGGCGCACTTTGAGCTCCTTCACCCCGCTTCGTCAGTAAACAAGCACAGAATGCACCTTGGTTGAAAGGGGCCCACCGATGACTTTATTTGTTTCTTTAAAAAAAAAAGCCCCTCCACTCCTCTTTCCACTGCTGCATCCCCCCCCCCCCCTCTTTGCTTGTCTTACTTCTGCTAAGTGAACAGCCTAATGAGGCAGAAGGGCAGTGGAGTGCACGTGCCATCCTGCCCCATTATGCACGCTCCCCCACAAACTGGAAAACAAAAACAGGCCACTCTCTTTGCACATCCCTGCCAAACTGTTCACTGATGCAGGCTGGAAAAAAAGAAGGGGACGAAAAAGAGGCTCCCTGTGAGAAAAACACCCCCCGACTCTCTGCATGCGTACGTGCTACAGTCCACATGCATGTGCTCGACTCAGACCCTCCCACTGCTTACTGGAACAACTTTACAAGACCACAAAAATAATCGGTCTCCATCACAAATATGATACAAACAAACAGATGGACACAGGGGCCATTATTACAGCCTGTTTCACTTGAAAACAGCCAATTGCAACAACACACTGAATTTCCATTCTGTAGTGGCTGTTTTTCTTCATCCCTGAACAATAATAACAACTTATATAGCCTTTTCCTGCTCTAAATGAAACCTAATATAACTTCTCCCTACACACAGGGGCCATGTGGTGAAATAAAAGCCACTTTCTATTCAAATGGCCTGGAGCCGGGACAAAAACAAGCCCCCTCTCGCAGCCACTTTTCAAACACGCTCAGCCAGGAATGTGCACCGTGACATCCAGTTACCTGATGGCCGCAGAGCAACTCGCCCACTTTGTTGTTCTCCCTCACTGCCTACAAGGACACACACACATATCCACTTGTGCTGGGGGCCTCACATTTCAGCGTAAACCCCCTGACCCCCCCCCCCCCCCCAGCTCTCTTTCTCCTACCCCTCCTCTACGTGCTCACAAACACATGTGAGTTCACTGTGTGCCTGTTAAACGGCGAAGGGTCAAACGTGGCTTTAATGTTAACATTCTGCTGTTCCTGATTTGTTTACAACTATCCCACGCGGCAGCGGTTCCCTGGGCTATTCTGGGACACTATTGATTATGGGATGGTGGGAAACAAGAGGTCCATGGAGGTCACATTGATGTGCAACACATCCTAAAGCCTACCCAACTGAAAAAACAACAGCCGGAAATGCCCGAGGCCCCGTTAGCAGACCTCACTAATAGTTGTGTTTTATGAGGAATCTATCATTCCTCTCATTCATAATAAGCGTTGGTGGAATCCCAATATCTGCTTGTGTATTTATAGTGTGTGCAGAGGCAGCATCCGGCTCTGTGCTGTCGTGGGGCTTGTTTACTTCAAAGCTCTCAGCTTGGTCACGTTTCCTAGCAGCCTTCTGCTGCGTTCACATGTGGGAAAATACCAGATATAGAAGGAGAAAAACAATTGAAAAAAGGTGTGATTGATTGCAACTCAAATCAGAAGACTTCCTTTTGACACTACATGGTTGTTTAATCGCAGAGAATAGTACTCGGAAGTAGGAGCTTAGGAGGAGCTCCTGCAGGCTGCATCAGCACCGCCTATGTACGTACTTTGAAATCCACACAGCCAGTTTGAATTTGAATCTGGAGGAAGGACAAGATTGCATGCATCCTTGTTTTTAACTGTACAGTGCAGCTCTCTTTTCTTACAGCAAAGCCAAACTGACTTCTGTTTAACATAATGGAGCATTCCAGCTAGAGTGGGGATAAATTGTTCAACAACAACACATCTGACAGCAACCTCACTCACCTTTGGCAGTGGTTGCGGCCTCCTTGAATCCCAAACACACATACGGGGAGCTGTGTAATCCATTGATGCCCCCTTTGCAGCTGCTGGTGGGTTTGAAGCCAGCCAGGCCCTCGCATTTCTCCACGTCCCTGTTGTCCAGCAGGTTCAAGGCAATGTAGTTCAGTCCGTTGGCGTACCCAGCCGAGCTCTGCCGGTTCACGGGGCTGTTGCCGTACTCCTCGTCCGACCCCTCGCTGCTCCGGGACGAGATGTTCTCCACGGAGCTGTGCCTCTTCATCATGTCCCCGCGGGCGAAGGAGGGGAACACCGGGGTCACGGTGGCGGTGGAGGAGAAGGTCTCGGAGCTGTGCCGCCGACGGCCCTGAGGGTTGGCCCGGATCACCTTGGCGGCGCAGTCGGGGTCAACTGCGGAGGAAGAGGTGCCCCCGAGCAGGAAGGCCCCAATGCATTCTGGGACACCCTGGTCCTCCAGAGAGAGCCTCCTCTCCCTGCTGCTCTGGCTGCTGGAGAGTTAGTCAGAAAGAAGCCTTTATTTTCATACTGGTCAAACAGGGATTATTAAGCAAATATGTTTAAATACTTAATACTTAAATATTAATGTTGATTATCAGACAATGTTGGCCTTTGCTTGTGATCAATCTAAGACTATTACAATTAATGACAATAAATGATTAAAATAACACCAAAAAGAACACAGATGCACATACCTTGCGGTGTTCTGAGGAACAAGCTGTGGTGGGGAGCTGGTCATCCCGAATGTCATCTCAGTGTAGTCGTTTTTCCCCTCGTCACAGAGGCCCTGAGATCCTTTCTCACCCTCCAGATGGTACACTCTGTCCTCCTCTGAGCACATAGATAACTCTGGGAGCGTGTCCAAGCGCTCAGCGGGAGTGTGTGCCTCCTTGGGCGAGTGTGAGCCCAGCTCCAGGTTCATGTAGTCTGACAGAGAGGACCTCCCGGGGCCCCCTCCGCTGGAGCCCAGTGATGAAGACTGGCTCTCCGTGGACACATTGGAGGGTGGGGAGAATCTGGCGCAGCTGAAGTCAATGTTGATGTATTCCCCGGGGCTCCTGGGTTCTCCGGGCAGGGGGTGCTCGTTCATGCTGGGCAGGGTCCTCAGGGTGTCCAGAGAAAGTCTGTTAGGCCTGCCAAGCCTCCCTCTGTAGGGCAGGCTCTCTGCCCGGCCATGCCTGACTGGGGAGGGCACGGAGGGGCTAAGAGGGGCTGCATTGGGCTGCATCACTGAATAATAGTCTGACTCCCCCACCCTCTGCCTCAAACTCTGGGGGCTCATCAACACATACTGGTTGCTCTCCTCATTCTTGGAGGCCTGGAGTTTAGCAGGGAGTGTGAGAGAGCCGCCCTGGTACGCTGACCTCACTGCTGCATGTTCCCCAGATAGCAGGCCCAAGTAGTAATCAGGGGGGGTCTGGAGTGGAGGTGGGTTTCCAGGCGACATGTTCATGTATTCACCGTTCCTGTCTAAGCTCTCCATGGACGATTTAGAGCTACACCACATTCTCATGTAGCCGCTGTCCTCCAGAGAGCTGCTGCAGGGGGAGTTGGTTTTGTAGCCGCCGCTCACAGCCGCCGGGGGATGGACCCTAGGGTTCACAATCTGCTTCGGTGCGGAGACACACATGGGGCTCATGGGCATGTAGTCTACTTTGCCCGACTGGGCCGTTAAGCCTGGCGTCATCGGCATGTAGCCATCATCAGCGAGGTTACTACTGGAGCTCCTGGATGACCCGATTTCAACATCTCCGTAGTCCTCAGGGTAGCACACTTTGGGCGATGCGGAGTGAGAGTTCTGCCTGTGAGCCATCCTCATGAGGGTGTAGTCATCCAGGGAGGCGGAGGCCAGCGGCGCCACAGCCCTCTGTTGACGTGGCGTGGTGAGGGAGTGCGTCCTCTTCCTGTAAGCGTCGTCACATGCAAGGCCATCAACCCCAACCCCAGACCTGGTGACATTTCCCCCCTCCATTATCATGTAGCCACAGGGGTCGCTGATGTCCCGGGATGGAGGCGTGCTGGACAGGGAGTCGGGGGTGTCGCTGCGGGTCAGGGGGATGAATCTGTGTTCACTTGGGCTGGAGCTGTAATCATCACACAGCATGAAGCCAGTGTCACTGAGGGAGCCAGAGATGGAGGCGCTGCAGCTAAAAGGCCGCCGGATCTTGTCAGGAGTGGAGATGCTGGCCCCCCTGGGGGACATGCTTATGGGGCTTGAGGTGCCTGGGGGCGAGTTGGACACGGGCATGGAGCGGCTGTGGTGCAGGTTGGAGGAGGACTCCAGTATCCTGCAGGTGCGCCCACTGCTGAGCGTGTGGGACCTGATGAGGAGATTCCCAGAGTTGGGACTGGTGGGACTCCCGTTGACAGATATGGACATGGACACAGGCCGGGTCACACTCCCGTCCCCCTCGCTGGCCGTTCTTATCCGACATGATGTGAATTTCCTCCCTGGGGAGTTTGCTGCCATGCTATCTGTCCTGGATCTCCTCACCAGGCCTGTCTGACTGGGGGGGAGGTTGTTGAGGTTGCGTCGTGTGGGAACGGAAATGGGGTTAGTGCTGGCAGACTGGCTCTTGCTCCGCGGCCTGAACTCTGACAGCTCCTTCATGGCCTTCATGGCCTCAAGGATAGTCTCATGGATGTTCTGTGCAACCACTGAGTCCTCTGCCTGCATCCAGAACTCCCCAGGCCCAGTGACAGCTGAGCGACCCACCTCTATAAAGAAAAAGGTGTCCGAGTGTCCGCATCTCCTGATGTTCATGAGCTGTAAACTGACAGCAGCTGTTTCTGAGTTCAGTTTCACAAAGCTGATGGTCCTGCTGGACAAACACAGCCTGTACACTCCAGTGAGGTTCTTGATCTGACCCAGACCTTTGGATTTCAAGTTGACCTGCCACACCTCCTTATAGACAGCTGTTGCAGGAGTGATCAGTCCGTAGTTGGCTTCCTCAAAGCCCACTAGAGAGGAGGTAGAAGCAGGGCTGTCGTACACTTTCCCCTCGGCTATTAAATCAGTCAGAACCGAGTACCAGCTCTCTTGCTCCTGCTCGTTGTCTGCAGCCACGGCGAAGTACTCGTCCTTGGTGTAGAGGGCGATCAGGTGCTTGTGTTTTGCGTCGGCCCGTTTGTTTACGCACAGACACGAGTCCAAAGTGATGACCCGTTTGGCAGCGGACTTGTTCCTCCATTTCTTCTCACTTTCATAATACTCCAGCCGCGCAGGGCAGCGCTCCGTCGGCTCCCGCAGCACGAAGAAGCGCCGGTGTCCGTGTTTCTGCTTCCTCAGGTATCCGCACTTCTTCACTCCGTACGTCCCATTCGATAACAGGTGTCCTCCCGTCGCCGGCGGACTTGCCATTTCTCTTTTTTCAAGTTCCAGATAAGCGATGCAATTAAAAAAAACTCGTTTGCAAAAAAACTTTAATGATATCCCGTTTTAAAAATGTGTTTAATCCATGGCAGAGGTCTAGATGTGTCCTCGGCCACGGTAGAAGCAACAGTGCAGCGAGACTGATCTGATCCTGGATAAAAACAACATGTGACGCTGCTGCTCTAAAAACAGAATAAAACACAGAGTCATAGGGGGGCGGGGCCTCTGCAGGGGCCGTGCCTGTCCATCGACCGGCTCTAACGCTGCCTATTGGCTGATTCAATAATTCAAGACAGGCAAACCCCGCCCACTGCTTTCCAAGCAGCTCTCTCATGTAGGAACAGAAATCAGAAAAACAACCAATTCCTGCGTTAAAAAATGAAAGTATAGAGAGGGCTAATTTTATATATCTCTTTTACTGCAGTAGATTGATTCCTCCATCAAACATTTTATTATTTTTACAATGTCATTGACAAGTCAATTTAGATTTATGAGGCGTTGAAATGATGTTGGATTGTAACCCTTTATTTATGAGGCTGTAAAAGTGTAAACAACCCTGACGTGCCATTTGTTATATAAACCTTGTTGTGGTCTATATTTAAACCTGTGGGTATTCCTCCCCAACTGGATCCTCCTATCATCACATCAGCATGTATCTCCCATCCAGCATGTGGTAGGCTAATAGTTATTGCTGTATGTTGTTAAATCAGCTGAAGGGAAGGGACCTTATTTTGTCAGTTATGTAATCCTATTATACACTTGTTTTGCACTTTGGTGCATTGGTACAAAGTGTTTATTTAGAATGAAAAACAGCCATCTCACAGAGGAGATGACTAAAGATGTGCGTCAGAGGCTTCTGTGTCATAACACGCTGCAGAAATGCTGCCATCGTCTGGCTGCTCACACACAACTCTTCCTACACATGAGTTTAGCAAAACAAACTAAACTTTGTTCCTTAGTTTAGATCATGAGCAGATAAATGGATAACTGCAGGCTGTTAAGGGGTCGGTCAGAAGTCAGGGGGAAGATAACAGACATCTGCTCATCAGATCATCTTGGTAATTATGTTACTAATTCTCCATGTGGTCTTCAACATCATTAGTCTCATGTTGACCCCCTGCCCAAGCTAAAAACACATGGTTTGCTCTTTATAATCTCCCAGAAAGCAGATTACACCTCTATTGATGAGGTGTCAGTGTGCATTAGATGCTATAGCTGATGGGGGGCTTTAACTAGTTCTTAATGAGCATATACAACACACATACTACAGATTAAGGGTAATCCCAGCCTTCTCTAATAACTATTGTTCTCATTGTTTTTGTTGATGCCGGTGTGTGTGATCTGTGACATTCATCCACTGCCTATTTTTCTGTTTTTGCACAAGTGTTAATTTATCCGGGTTAAGCCAGGTTAGCATGTGTTTTCAGCATTAGTCTGAGATATGAACAAAAACACCTTCGCCGGGATTTAGTAACACATATATAAGCAGCCTGAGGGCAAAAACAAAGGAACAAAGGGCGTATTGTTGACACTTTACTGGCAATCATTTGGCATATAATCTGAGGGAATACTGCTGAATGCCGAATACTGTTGTTTTGCGGGCAGTTCATGTTGTTCAGTACTGATTCCCACAGGGTTTACTACAACACTAATCTGTGTTGTTCTGCGGTGATCATTTATTTGTGATAATGTCCAGGTGTGCCATCTCAAAAAAACACGTGGCATTATCCTGGTTTGTTCATGGACTCTTTTTCTAAACTGTATGTACTGCAAGCTGATTTTGATACAAGTAAAAGAAGAACAGCTGCAATTAGGAGCTCATATCCTTTAAGGTTAATTTTCAGTATGGTAATAGATATAGTTGTAATATTTGTAAAAGTGGTAGCTGAAGAAGTAGTTGCCATAGCAGCAGCGCAATGTTCAGTATTTGGCAGCTGTAAGGGGAGTTTAGCTGTGTTGTGATGAAAGTGTTTGTGCAGGGGGAGAGTCAAAGTGAAAGTAAACTTGTTATTCAAATGAGGTTATTGGGTTTTCAAACTTTTACACATTATACAGTGCAACATCTGCAACACACACACCCCACTAAGACTAATACACCCAGAGTAATACATATATAAATACAGTCTAAAGTGTCACCAAATAGTCTGTCTCCTTTTGATTTCTGCCTCTTAACATTTAAAGTACAGTGGTCACACCGAGTTCAAGTGTCCAGCTGTGACGTTTTCTAAAGATATTTCACTAATCTTGCAGTTATTACAAAATATAGGCTACTATAAGCCAAACAGGATAGAGAAAAGTTAATTGTTAAAACATTGATATTTGCTAAGAGGCCATGTTTCTCATGTTTATTCAGTGTATTTGTATTTGTTGTAAAATAACGTTTTTACAATGTTATAGTAGTGGTCAGGAAAAAAAGGTAGTTGAGGATTAGATAACCACTGGGATCCGGGATTAATGTTTCTTGTCACACAACAAAGCTGCTTTTCACTGTGTACACACAGATCTGTGTACCAGGGGATCATGTCACGGATATGTCAGCTCAGCACCAAAGGTTTCAGGGCTAACTGCTCTCAAGATCAAAACACACATTGATTGTTTTATGTCAATACATCTGTTGAAGTTATATTCTGAATAACCGGTTTATGGTGCTGAACATATTTCTCATGTTGTTTAATCTTTGTTGATCCACTATAATGTTAACAATTCCCAGGTCTAAATGTTTGATCAGTTAAATCAAAGGTTTCAACAACATATTTTACCTATAGGCACATTATTGTAATCAGTACTTGATTTTAAAGGATACACAGCAACATTGCAAATACTGCATGTCTGACATGACACAACACTGAACTCTAGTGGCACACAATTGCAACTGCAACCCTTAAACTCAAAATGGTATGATAGGCAAATAATATACATTTTTTAATAATGTCTTTAAAACGTTTTCCTTTTGACACAATTAAGTCAAAATGTTGATAGCCTTATTAGCAGCATTTTACACTCAATAATTCACAAAACTATAATGTGTTTTTTTTCTTTCAGAAATGGCGAAGAAGATAAAGAGAACCATGCCTGTCGTTTGTGGATGTTAGGGATTTAATAAAATACAGTGCAGTCAATAAATTAAGTTTGTTGTGTCGCAGTTTTTTTTTTGTTCAATTGAGAAGTCCGGACTGTTGACATGTACGCACACGAATCTGATGTAACGTCACTTCCGTTTTCCCTTTCCTTGTGAAGTCAGCTAACATTACGCAGGCTATCTATGTCAAAAATAAAAGGCAAGCTAAATTACATCTTACATGTTTGTACTAAAAATAAAAAAGAACTACTGGCAAAATGTAACTATGCACATAAAATAGTAAACTAAATACATTGTTTTCTTTATAATGCTTCACGTGCTCTCAGACCATGGATGTATGTCTCAGACATGCGGTTTATTCGCGAACCTTTACGCTACGTTTTATTCTTTAACTTCCGGTCTAGTTGCTGTTAATGTAGTAGTTGTCTTGACGCCGCTCAGACAGGAGACCTAAGGAACCGATAATCATCTCTGGTTAGCAAATATAGGTTAGCACTCCGGTCATACAGACGAAAACATGGAGTCCGCTGTGGTGCTCTTTGTTTTAATGGTTGGCTCTGTATGTGGAGAAGCTGCAGCAGAAACACAACTAGTATATGTGACTGTGGTGAGTACACATTATATTAAATATAACGATACGGAAGATGTGTTTAACTCTGCAGCGAGTTGCAACGAATCTCTTACGCCACTTACGGAACTATTATTCAACATTTTTTAAGTTTTGTTTTTTCTTTGCTTTTCTGTGCAAATATTAATTTCTCTGAACTCGAATTAAGTCTGTTTCGCATAAGTTTTTTTTAAGCTTGGATGTTTCTCTGATTCCTTTAAAAAAGGCACATATTAGGAATCCAGTTAGAAAGTATTTGCATGCATCTGCTAAGCCCTAAACCTGTCCACAGCCCACCAGTGAGAAGAAAACATCTCGATGTGTGCTTAATCTCACTCCTGTCTATTTAGATGGCAAATTAGTGAATTTGTTTATCTGTTTTTTGTCATAAGCTCTTATTTCTCTATACTAGTGTGTAGGTTCTTTTTCCCACCCTCCATTTCTTGTTTTCTAGCGTTACAGACATGGAACCTGTCACGGATGTGGGAATTGAAATAGCATTGGACTCGCTCAGGTTTTTCGTGTCAAGACATCAAGCATCTTGCTGTGACGGTGTTAAAATATGTCAGCAGGTCCACATGAAGTTATGAAAGTAGTATTTGTTGACTGCCTTTAACAGACGTTTATATTGTTGCCCCCCGTTGACCTAATTGCCTGCGAGGTAGCCACATCTACAGTAGAAGAGATTAGTGGTCTTAAAGGGATAATCCACACTTCAAATAGAATTTACAGTGTTTTAAAGCTATTTTGGACGGGAGGCATGCATCATGAGGAAACTAGAAACCACACTCCTCTGAGGCGGCTTGAAGATTGAAACTCGAAACTGTTCTACTTGAATAGAAGCTTGATTTGGTGTCTTCCAGTAACAACGCTTTCAACCAAAACTAACCATTTGGTTTCAATGAGTTCTCTATTCATTGTTAAAGGGGAAGTTATACGTGAATGACCCATTTCAGAGAGAAAGCTCCCTGTTCTCACTCTTAGTATTGTCCTTGTCTTCCTCCTATTGTTACAGTTACATTTTGTATCTGTTTGTTTTCACTCCTGAGTGGCAAGACCGTCACTGTTGGCTGACTGGACTTTATCACAGCCAACCACACAGTTCAAACAAGGACAACGATCTTACCTTGTGACATTTAAACTGATGGGGAAATTAGTGCTGTCTTTTGAGAAGCAATGTTGACTACAGATGCCATCAAATTGTGAGAAATAGGGCCTATAATAGAGATCGATTCCAAACAAAAGTCACTTGAGGTAACTGAAAGTGAAAAAAAACGTAGATAGAAATTGTGCTGATGTCCTTACTTATCACCCAATTAAAGTATGTTCCTTTCTTTCCATACAGAAAATACTGAATGATACGTCACATCTTTTGCCACAGAAAAAGTGTTGTTTGTTGTTGTTTTTTTGGGTGTTGTTGATATCTTGTCCTCCCTCTTCCAGTTGTTCCGGCATGGCGACAGGTCTCCAGTCAAAGCCTATCCTACAGACCCTTATCAAGAGGGCGACTGGCCACAAGGCTTTGGACAGTTATCACAGGTATGATGAATATTTCTGTCTATCCAAGTGTTTGCATGGCATCTGCACATATATTGTCTTGCATACTCTTTCTGCCTTTATAACAATCTATTTCTATAGTTGAGTTATTTTAACCCCTTGTTATTGTCCCACTTGAGTCCCTATTTGTTCTGCAACAGTGTACAAGAGTTTATGTCATGGATTCAGAAACACTCGTCTCTGTTTTTAGGTGGGGATGAAGCAGCATTTTGAACTGGGCCAATTCCTGAGGAACCGATACAAAGGCTTCCTGAACGACTCCTACGACAGGAACCAGGTAACCTCTCCGCTGTCAGATCACATGGCACCATGGTCCCAGACACGATGACTCATATTAATATTGAGGAAGAGGGGCCCCTTGGCATGTGGGTGTTATACAGCGTTCCCCCCGGAGCTGGAATTCATGAAGGAGGTGTTTTTCTTCTTGTCCTCAGATCCACGTTCGCAGTACGGACTACGATCGCACCCTGATGAGCGCTGAATCCAACCTTGCGGGTCAGCGAACTAACAGTAATTCTCTACGTAGTACTTTTCTTGCTTGTACTAACAGCCTCTTTCCCATCCTTCAGGTCTGTACCCCCCCCGCTGGTCAGCAGGTCTTCAATCCAAATATGCCCTGGCAGCCGATACCTGTACACACAGTGCCAAAAAGTGAAGAGAGGGTATGTGTGCAGAGAAACCGGTTATCAGGGCTTCGCTCTAATTCACTTTGTCTAAACTTTGTGTCTTTTTTTGTAGCTTCTTGATTACCCTCTGGATGACTGCCCTCGCTACAACCTGTTGATGAATGAAACCGAAAAAACGGAGGAATTCATCAATGTCACTTTGGCATACCAGGTACAGGAATTCCAGGGTTGCATGTTGGGTTTTTATGATAAATACAGAAGCCATGAGAGGCAATAAAGCGACAAATAAGTCCATTTCTATGTGACCTGGGAAGCACCACTACCCCTTATGTTTTCCAAATTAGTAAAATCATAATTTCTTTGGTTTTCTTCCAGGGGATTCTTAATTTCTCCATTATTTGAAACATACAATATATGTATATATTTTTTTTTACCTGCAAAACAATTTTTTCCCCAACGTCATCGCATATTAAAAAAGATTGTCCTTTTACCTGTTTAGTCATAAACCGGCAAGAGATTTTCTTTAGGTACATTTGACCATACATACATTTTTATTTTGCCTCTCAGGGCTTCCGTAGAAATGCTTTAAAGTGGTGTGTTCTTCTCTACAGGATATTATAGAACTGGTGAAGAACAAAACAGGACTCAATAAGACTGATGTGGAGTCAGTCTGGAGCGTGTACGACACACTGTTCTGTGAGGTACACACACACACACACACACACACACACGCACACACACACACACACACACACACAGTTGGAACATAATTGAAAAACACAAAATGAACTAAAGGTAAAAAAATGATAGCTAGCTACACATCTTTATTATGAGAGATATTAGCAGGTTTCAATGAGCACACTTTCATTAAAGATATTGAAGATGCCTTTTTCAGGAAACTAACTTGTTGCCTTCATTTGGAAATAAAAGCACCCTGTTATGCCATTTACATTTCAACATTTTGAACAAAAACAGTTTGTGTAATGTCATCAGTTTTAAAGGAACAGACACATGTTGGTTTAAGGAACAGAAGTGAGGAACTGGTATCGGTTTCACACTGGTGCTTTTGGTCCTCACAAAGGTCACTACTTGCTCACTAAACTGTATAACTGTTCTTCTTAATTAAAGCTTTTAGTCATTGTTTAACTTTGTTTAATTAACCACGTGTTTTTTTGTGCTTTTCATAATTCTCCTGTGTTTTTCGTGTGATTTCAGTCCCGTCACAACAAGTCTGCTCCTGATTGGGTGACTCCTGAAGTCATGGAGAAGCTCCAATGGCTCAAAGACTTTGGATTTCGGGTAAAAGAAGTCGCAACACCAAGGTTTCCTTCAGGTCTAAATACTATTTTCTAGTCAAGGACTATTTCAATATACTGATTGATTTTCACAGATCACATTTGGGGTCTACAAGCAACAAGAAAAGAGCCGGCTGATGGGAGGTATGTGTGTTTATCTAGATTATCACCAGACTTATCCTTTTAAATGCAGGAGTGCTTATGGATATACAAACTGCTGACTTTCTTCCAGGTATGCTATTGGGAGAAATAGTGAAGAAACTTTCAACAATGGCCGTCCCAGACCCTGCCCAGAGGCTGAAACTGATGATGCTGTCAGCGGTAAGAATTACTGTTACATCTAGCCGTTTCCTCTTTATCCAGTCTTTGTGCCAAGCTAACCATACCGTATTGTTTTGTCTAATTCCTTTAATGTGTTCCTGTTCAACAGCACGACACCACGGTAGCCGCTCTTCAGGCCAGTCTGAATGTGTTCAACGGAAGACAGCCACCTTATGCCTCTTGTCATATAATTGAGCTTTACAGGGAGGAAAACGGGTAAAAAAAACCATACCTTTTACGAACAGTGGAATACATAGATGAGACTTACAAATACACAAACAAAAATGGTGATGTTTTAAGGTCTGTTAATGCGTCCAAACAGCTGATAGGGAAGATGACATGTATTTAAATGTGACATCACAGACAGTACAACTCTCCCTTTCTTTCCAGCTCTGCCTCTGTGTCCATGTTCTACCGGAATGACAGCACAGTGGAGCCGTACCCTCTTCAGATACCAGGCTGCTCTCTTGACTGCCCCCTAGATGACTTTGTGAGAATTACAAAGCTCTCCATTTCAGACGACAGAGACAAAGAGTGCCAACTGCCGTCAAAAGGGAGAGATACAGGTTAACACACACTAAAAACTGATCAAATAAAAATAATAAGATTGTTTGTGCCTCCATTAATCCTCCATTCTCCATCTTCAGAGGTGATCATCAGTCTGGCGGTGTCTTGTTCTTTGCTCATCTTCCTCGTCGCCTTCCTCCTCGGAGTTATTTGTTGGCAGAAGCCAATCAACAACCGGGGATACAGCCATGTCGTCAACCAGGATGTGGGAGATGAATCCTGACAGAAGCAAAAACTCCTTCCCCGGAGATCGGAAAGCCCGGCATCTTGGGACAGCAGCGATGAAGAAGGACTTTGAACTCTTAAACTCCCGAGTGACCTTTCTGACGGTTCCGGAGCCACAACAATTAAAATCTTTAAAGAGTGAGTTGTCGTCCAAAATGACCTGATTTTGTTGGGTCAGAGAGAGGAATTTAAATAAGATTTTAGGGAAGAACAGGTTTTAAAATGCCTCCCTGTCACTCTAAACTAACATTAGTGCTGAGAGACAGGCTGTTGGAGGGACCAGGACTGATTTCCCCATCAAGAAAACACAGCAGGGAAAAGGGTCTGTTTTATGTTTGACACAAAAAGGAACTGTGGTTTTCCCATCGTGGTCTGATCTCCAATCAGCTCATATTTCTACACATATTTTCCCAAAATGTGCTCATACAGACACTGCATCTGGGGTTTTTCAAGCATAGGACTCGATTGGATGCAGAAAATAGTGATACAGTTGTAATCTTAAATTATGTAATCATGATACATGATGGGAAAAGGTTTTGGGAATGTCATCGCAAATTCACGATTTTTATTTAGCATCATGATTTTCTTCCTGGCTTGTCTAATATTTCTTAAAAACAGCTCCAATAATACTTAACCTGGTGACGCCCAAGATGTTGACTAAAAAGGCAAAACATTTCTTAATACTGAATTCAGAATTCTTCCAGCCCTGGTCTGTTTGCAAAAAAGGATTACCTTTTGAATAGGAGGAATACATTTGTTTAAATGCATGTGTAATCCTAATGACCGTGATGCCTTAAATATTTTTAATTCTGGGGTGTGCATTTGCTTGGATGCCAAATATTTTTGTAGCATTTCACATTTTTGAGCAGCAGCTCAATGTTAAAAGTGTCACTTATCCAGAAAAAGCTGGTTTAAACAAATAATATTAAAATTGGGCGTAAACAAGAATCACATTTCATGATAATGTAAATCAGCTTCACATAATATACATTTTAAGGGGGATACTAGAAACACTGGAGATCTTTACATGTGTGTGTCTTTGAATCTGCCTTTTTGTTTGTGTGTTTAATCATTTAAAATAAATCTAATGGATTCCTTTGCATCACGTGTGTTTATGTCTCAGAGCCGAGATACACAGCCTGCCGTGTCTCGCAGTGATCGACCAGCTGCCGTCTCAACTTAATTTGGATGTTCCTTATAAACTTAACTGTTAAACTCAGGCACATGACTAGCATGTCTGTGCACAGATATGGTGGTGATCACACTTGTATTCTGTGTGAAACTGCCAGGTAGAAAGGTTAATTTCCCCTATAACACTTTTACAGAACAACATTTGAAATACGGGTTATTTTAGTTTTCAAAACAGTGCAGTAGGCCTTTATTTAAACATGGTAGTGCTTTTCTTGCATACATCGTTAGTGATCTCTCAGGTTACATTCAATATGGCCGCAGATAAAACAATCAATAACATGATGAACCAATCATCTCTGCCATTTTGAAGCAGATAGGGCAACATTTTTACATAAATTATATCACCTTGGAAAAAAAGTATGCCACTGAGATCTTGCACTCTGATGCATGCACTGCAGATGATATTATTTCTGAAATAGGAGAACAGCTTGATTTCCACCGTATTTCAGTGTCCTGTGTTTTCTGGTATGAAGTCAATGTTTGCTTGGTCATTTACAGATTGAGTTTCATGACAGCTGAAGTCTGTTTAAGTACAGTGATGTTGGGTCACATTTCTCTCATTCAGTTCTGACTTAGCACAGATGCGTACACTGATTTTGATCTTATAGCTGGGTCATATATGCCACAAATGTTCCATCAAAGTGAAATATTGCTTACAGGCTGCAGTCTGACATGAAATTCAGAAGATTTAAGAGATAATGAACAATAGGAGAAGAAAATAAACTATACAAATCTGTTAAACAATAAAAATATAAATTTATAAAAGCAACCGTTAAAACTGAAATGTAAGAGCCATACAGACACAAAATACATAGATTAGAAATCGATTAAGGTGACACACAAACCTTTAAAAATACATTATCCGATCGCTCTTGTGCAAAAATATTTTCCTTTAGGAACGAAACTATAAGACATGACTTAATGTGATGGCACATTGATATTTTCTTTCTCAAAAGGGATAAATATTAAAAGATAAAATACAGACGATGATTGGAGAACACGCATAACGCTTTTTTCTCTTAAAGTGAACTTTTTTCTAAGTGCAAATTGTTGCTTCAGCGAATGTTTTTTGGACAAAAATATGATATTTTCAACCTGGTAATGTACAATCCTAGGGCTCTTCCAAAGTTGAATGCAGGTTGATACTTTCATTTAAATATCCTCCAAATGATAGTGCTACTGCCCAGTAGAATCTATGATATGTTTTTTTAATCCCAAACATTCAGCACTCCTTGTTATAGGTTGTAATGTAGTTTCCATTGTATTATTAATGGGGAAGTAAACCTGGATTAAGCTGCTGTTTAAATAATCCAACAGCCCTGGCATGTTCTCGGAACCGAGCAAATGTAGTTAAAAGCCTGAGTCGGTCATTTAAGTCATCAGTTGAAACTGTTCCTCCACCATTAACTTCTATAATAAATGGTAGATGTTACATTTTTCACACACTAATATTGATCAAGCTTGTGCTGTTGAGATTGTCGATACCAAGCATATGGATGCTACATACATCTAACTTTTGCAGCTGTAAGCAGTTTACATGGATGACACCTTTGAACCCCGAAAAAAAATCTGACCAGTATTTTTGATTACATTATTACAGTAATAAGCCTGTTTTACATGTTAAACCAAAATCCAGTAGCCTACTGAGTAGGAAGGTTAAAGTCTTAAACTTGCTAATGGTGTTATATTTCTGTGGCACCAAACCTAACAAGCACTGTTTGAAGAAAAGATGATTTGCCACCAACAAAATAATATTGCCAAGTATGTTATGGATGAAAGTTTGATTTGTTTTTTTGCAATTCAGTTTCGATAGGTCTCTGGGAATTGTCTTTGTTTGAGCTAACTGTTAGAGGATGCGATAAGGTAGCTCTCTACAACAGTCAATGGCAAATTAGCGACTGCTAATTCCTGTCAAACGTAACCAGACCTAAAGGTAAGAAACAACATAAAATACCCTCTGTAGATGCATCTGTTTTCATTGTCAGAGAAGCCTTATTAAGAATTAGTTTAAGCTAGCAGGCCAGAATCCTACACTGTTCTCTTCCTGCCAAATTACCCTTCTTTATGCTAAATGGCGATTGTATAATATGCATGCTGATTAAAAACAGTCATACAACTCTTTTGACAACCCAAATAACACTTTGACTTATGTCAAGTCAATATAATGTCTGTGTGTTAAGAACTGTTGAACAACAGCCCATGGCAGCTTCCTCATTAGCCATGTTAGCTAGCCTGCTATATGGCTTGTCTGAGCGGAATGATATGTTCCATAATTGGATGCAATTTACAAGAAGATGATGAGGGCTATGATTATCTGGTCCCTAATGATTCCAATTATGTGACTAAAACATTTAACAGAAAGAGTTTGGTCTTTGCGGTTTTAGGTGTATTAGACAGATGTATTGCTTAAACTCTGTTACATGCGTCCAGTGTTTTATATCTGATCCAATTATGTAATTTAGAGACAGTAATGTCCAAAAAAAGGCCATGGCTAAACAACTCCCCAGCTACTGATGCCACCACATTTCGAACCAACTTTTAGACCCAACTTGGTCCAAAGCAATCCCTCAGAATATCATTCAAAAGTACCTGCAATGATGATCTGGGGAAGCTAAATGGTGACAGGAAATTGCTATTAGTCTTTTTACTCTAACCCAGTTTAATTCTGTAGGGTGCAGAAATACGTTTATGACCCAGAGTAATAATTCTGTGGCGTGGAATAGTAGTTACTGTGGTGATGGTGGTAGTTGTTATTCTGCGGGGTGGAGTAATAGTTGTGATGTTGCGGGTTGTCACTCTGGATGTTTCCGTAGGCGAACAGCAGGGGGGCCGTAGAAGATGGCGCCTGCTGGGCGGTCCCGACGCCTGCCGTCAGTGTTCCATTGCGTTGGATGGCGCCATACCAACTGGACGTACCCAGCTGGGGAGTATTGGAGAGAAGGCTGAGGAGAAATGTTGAACAAGAGATAGGAGAGGGAGGATAAGGATAAGAGGAATCAATCCAAAGTCATTTGTCAGTAAGGGTATTGATTTTCCAATACAAAGCTTTAAAGACTATTTGTGCTTGGGTTATGCCTACCTGGCTCGATCACTCCTACTATTAATGCTTCTTGACAGGTCATCATCACTATCGTACCGTCTAGGATTGTCAAAGAAATAAGCTCTGGAGCTGAAACTGTGGCTGTTGATCATCCCTCCTGGAGTCTGGAGTTGATCAAAGTTCATTACACTTTACAGCTCTGAAAGGTCACAGTTTTGTACGACAGATTATTGCAGTTATTTGTATTTTTAACTTGTTATTTTACCAGGTTTTGGTTGGGTTTCTGGACTCTGAAGAAAACCACCACTAAACTTGTAGGTAGCAGCTCCCAGAAGAACAGAATGATCCCAAACACAATGTAGGCTTCACCGCTGATCTCTTGCACATCAGCCTGTAACACACATGAACATATTGCATAATGATATCATGGCTCTTGAGGACGGTTAACAAACAGAAAATATTGTATTTTATACATTTACACTTAGATCATTTTATACACATGTTGAGATATGGTACTCACAGCAGGTATACAGACAGATTAATGACATAATTCGTGACAGATTACATCCACACAGTAGGTGTCCAACACACACAAACAAACCCTCTTTGAAATGGGCTGTGTGTCTTAATTCCTGAGCCATGATGTAGGTCAGGAGGACACACACAAAACACACACACTGGTGAGATTTGGTTTATTTTTAGCCAAACAAAGCCCTTTACCCCACTAAGCATTGCTTCCCCAAATCTCATAAAATGGATTGTCCACACACACAGGGCAGTTGGTGTTTGGCTCAAAACAAGCCTGTTTTCCAACACTTGGGGCAGTACCTGATCGGAAACGCTGAACCAGCCGTAGTTGAAGGGGTTAGGTCTGTCCTGCGGCGACAGGGCCACCACCACCAGGTTGTAGCAGGCTCTGGATGTGTACAGCAGGATCACCACGGCTCCTATGGCTGTAGCTTGACACACTGATGTACCCTGGGGGAAGATTACTGTGCTTATTATTACAAGACATGAATCAGCCGGCTGAAATTGGATGTCAGATATGGGCCACAGATGTGATCCACCAAATAAAAGAGGCCTCTCCGTGACAAACATGGCGGATTATAGGCCAGGAATTGAGTTTTGTAGGACATACATTTGAGACACCATTACCAAGAGCCGTAAACTGCACAATTTTCTAAAGTAACATGAACAAATGGCTCAATAACCTTAGGCTTGATCACCCTTTAGGATTTTAACAAGGGATTTATGATAGTGTGTGTGTCACTGTATACACTGTAAATGAGGTTTTACAATAACATACATCCGGGTAACAGGCAGCTAGTGTCTGATATTTTTTATCATTAATACACAGACATTTTCATGCTAACGCTGCCAATATCCAGATTATGTAGATTTACATGTTTCAAAATGGGATACAATACTAGATTTGTGTTTCCTAATACCTGCTATGAAAACACACATAACCATAACATACATTTTTACCGTGCTTTACTTTGTGAAATACTGACTTTTTTATAGAAAATGAAATATACTTTTTGTTAATGTTTTTTTATCCCTACCTTGGACTCGAGGTAAACATTTGCAGAGGACATTTTGGCGATCTTGAAGACGCAGACGGCCAGAGAGACGGCACACAGGACAAACAGACTGTCGTTGATCAGGACCCGGGCCAGCACCGCGTGTCTGATTCCCCCATCGCTGCAGACATGGAGGTTTTTCAAGGTAAGCGGTTCTAAATGTGACATTATTATCTTGGGGAACATGTATTCTTAGTGTTTTTGCTTACCTTGGTGACTCAGAGCGCTCCAGAGCTCCTTGCACTAACAACGCACAAGTTAAATTGACCACCAGGAAAAATATACTGA